AAAAAAAAAAAAAAAAAATTAATTTCCCCATATTAAAAACACCCAACGAAAAAGACCAGCCCTATATAGCATCATGACTCGGAAGGCCGATGTAAAAACATAATGACATTTGTATGTAGAAAGTTGACATACGTCACATATTCCAGTTTTCAGTATATAAAATTGAACGTTTAACTGATGAGCAAACAACTAGGAAGAGTCAAGTTTATTAACTTCAGAGTCATTGAAAAACAAAATTGATATTGAAGTCTTCTGTATGCTGATCATCGAGTTCACTACGATGGAATAACTTTCCACCGAACATTTTTTTTTTAATTTCAAGATTTAGTTGTAATTTATAAAAACTTTTCATAACTTACTGTTATTCTGTTTAATTTGAATAGCTTCGAAATGAGAGAGTATAATTGCATGAACTATCCATTAAGTTGAATAATAAAAAAAAAAGATTTGAATACAGTTCTCAAGTTTGTATTTTTTTAAAATTTGGAGTTACAAGTAAGTGATAGGCCTTCCGAGTCTTGCTTTAAATTTACTAAATTTACACCCGGGTAACCTGCAAGAACGGCGGCTTGAATGACTGGCTTGCTATCATCACCTCCCGTTAGAGGACTTTGTCCAAGAGACTGGCCATGATTTAGGCTTTGCATCTGATTCACGTTGCTCAATGGCATATTAGAGTCCCGAATAGAAATTCCCACAAAGGCCGGATGATGTTGATTGTGAGAATGGATCACTGGGCCTGTTGGCATTCCAGGATGACCTGACAGTTCAGGATTCCAATGATCAGCTGGGCTGTGGATGGAGCCTGGAACAGTCTGGAAGGGTGGCTCATAATGATGAGTCATGTAGCTGTCAGGTGGAAGCATTTCATGAGGGTACCGAGCTGTAAAATGACCAACAAGCTCATAACTTAAACACATTTTTCTTCAAATACCAAATAACATTGAAATAATTTACAATAACTCTTTCATTTAAAACATTTTTACCGTAAATAAGTACAAGTTAAATTATCAAATTTAAAGCAACCAATATTTACTACTAAATAAGAATAGAGTGAATAAGAAAACTCCAGAGAATGAACTAACTTGATGTATAAATAACAACGACCTCTCAATTCACAGCAAGTATAAAGAACAAAAACATTTCTTGTTTATTCGTTGCTCTTTTTTTTCTAACGAGTTGTTTAATTGGGAATGAGGTACAGCTGCTTCTCAAAATACTTTTATATAAAACGGATACTTGAAAAACCTACTAATGGTATTGTATCAAACGCTATAGCCCAGAATTCTAAATAATTAAAATAGCAATAATGAGGCTATCCGCCAGATGCTCTGACTACGCTTGCAAAGTTAGAAAAACTGGCACGTAACAATACCGTAGTACTCAGAATACGCGATCTAGTTTTCGTGAATCGCCAATGCAACAATGTACGTCAGAATCAATTTATAAGATGACATGGCTTTTCTTGCTCCATACACGTCTTTATGCTCTCGTTTTACATACAGAAGAAAATAATATCGCCGTAGAACAAAATTGTAGCTGTTGTTGTTTCACAAATACTTATCAATTATGCAACAATTCTGTTAGGGCATGTTGGGCAGACTTTGAAATACAATGAACATTTGTTACATGTCAATTTTTAGTCTGGGGCAGGTGTACGGTGCTGTAATACTTAACATAGAGCCAACGTCAATAAACTGTCCTGGTTTTTAAAGATCCAGGTGTCTTCATTCTAACGATGCAGATTGTCTAAACCTGCCTTACATTTGTTTGCTTTGAATTTATGATAAAAGATCAGCGTACCTACGTTAACAAAGCACAACAAATTGTGAATATAATTTCATGAAAAAAAAACAACTTTGAGGAACCTTTAAGTTAGTCTTGAAAATGAGTTGTACTCGTTTTTAAATATCTATAAAATCTCATGAAGTGCTACTAGCCTTCACTTTTTTTTTTAGGATACTCAACAAAGTTACGCAAGAATTACCTGACATAACCATCCCACACTTTTAATTGATACACTAAAAGGGAGGAAGCTAGTCATTAGCACTAACCACAAATCCTGGGCTACTCTTGTCTGACCAAATAGTGGGGTTTGATACAGTCCCAAAGTGCGTGCGCATTTCTGCGGTGGCGTGCCATAAACCGTGATCTCTCGGATTCACAGTCCAGCTCGTTAACTATTTGGCCATGCCCGGACCCCCTTTACAATAGCAATCGTAATTCATTTAAGCGTCAAAGGAAACATCTTGAATTTCAAAGGTAAAGTTTGGAGAAAGCAAAAAATATGCTGTCTTTATTAATATAATACTGGGTATTCTTATGATTTAATCGAGACATTTTCTTGCTTTTTTTTTTTTTGGTTAATAATTTTCTGTTAAACGGAATTAGGAAGAAAACAAAGTTGTACCAAGAAAACGTCCTGCAGTATAAAATTCTTCTCTAAATAATAAAATACAAACACAGAAGTGCCGCGACGTCTACAACGTTGAAACATTTTTATATGTAAATGTTAATAGTAATTTTTCTTAAAAAATGACTTAAAAGCAAAATCGCTCTCTACGATAATACTGAAATGACTGCCTTAAAAGCAAAATCGCTCTTTATGATAATACTGAAATGACTGCCTTAAAAGCAAAATCGCTCTCTACGATAATACTGAAATGACTGCCTTAAAAGCAAAATCGTTCTCTACGATAATACTGAAATGACTGCCTTAAAAGCACAAATTTCGAATCAAAATATTATATTTGAAATTGTTCAAAGCCAAAAGTAAGAGTTAATTACAGATCTATGAAAGTTAATGTTAACAGAAGAGGACTATTTGAAATGTCGCCGTGATTCAATACAATGATACTTCGATAAATGGAATCTTTCTACAGATAATCACATTAGCTAAATTTCTTGGCCTGTTAAATTTCGCGCAAAGCTACACGAGGGCTGTCTGTACTAGTCATTCCAAATTTAGAAACTAGTGAACACCACCCACGGCCAACTCTTTCAATTATAACGCTCCCACGGCCGAAAGGGCGAACATATTTAGTGTGACGGAGATTCGAACCCGCGACCCACACACTGCAAGGCCGACGGTCTTTGAACACAAAAGATCGGCCTGGTTAAATGCTTCAAAATCTAACATCACTAAGTTACATACGATATAATATACTGTAACAGTTTGAACATGGATTATACACAATTACACAAACTGCCCTCCAGTGACTCAGCAGTAGGTCTGAATGCTTATAACGCTAAAAACCGGTTTTCTATACCCATGATGGGCACAACACAAATAGCCCATTGGTGTTGCTTTGCGCTTAAAAACAAATAAACAAAAATTATGCAAACTACCCTATGTTGCGCAGTGTCCCCACCCTCCCTCCGTGGTACAGCGGAAAATCTGTGAACTTATAACGCTAGAAACTGGGTTTCGATACCCGTGGTGAGCACAGCACAGATAGTCCATTGTAAAGCTTTGAGAGTAACTACAAACAAACCAGTGCGCAATGAATTATTTAAAAAAAATTAAACGTTAACGTTTATTGTACATGATAATAATAGGGTAAATATTTACTTTAGTTTCCTACCCTAAGTGACTTAACTAAATAATACCTTAGCACATTTTATAATTTTTGCTTTTCCTATTTGTATTAAATTATATTTGTTGCTCAACATACTGTTGTATATCTTTACAGGTATTAGGAATATTTTAATGTACTATGCTTATTGTAGTAGCTGTGCATGGACATGGTTTTACAAGTTCCGAGTGGTAGCGGTTGAATATATTGGTGTACTTTGTTAAAACCACCGGCTGCAATATCGTATTTCTTCATGAGCTTGAGCTGGAAAACTATACCATGGAAGGAGGAAGGGATCAAACCTATTCTTATAATCCCAGCTCACCTCCACATTGTCCTAAAAACTTCACAGAACAGCAACAATAGTACTTCCAAGGCTAACCCCATGATATATGTTATTTATTATGACATTATTATTTAAAACTGTCCCTTCAGCTGAAAACAAAGAGCTTATTAATGAGTTTGAAGGCTTGCTATGACAGATATATAAAACAGCATTAGTTAGTGGGTAAATGTTTATAAAAGACAATGCTAATAGTACTAAATATACAGTCGTACCTCTGGGATAACTTTTCGTAGAATAAGTAGGTTGATATTTGGTTTCTGGAAGCATGACTGGAGTGGACGGCGTTGGATAAAATTCCGGACTAGCGTCCAAATAGCCCGGATGAGGAGTACTGGCCTCCAACCCGTATTCTTGTGAATCGTTGAATTGCTGGCTTAAACCCATCTCCTCGTGGTTCATATCATTCAAAGTGTGGATTGATTCAGTGATATGATTGTATCCACCTGGTAAAAGAAAGATGTTCTATTCAACAAACACATTATTTACCCCAAAGTTTGCTGCTTGAAATAGTGTATAATAAAAAATGTTCTAAATAGATAGCGAAAGCTAGATTTGTGACTATTCAAAATAATTATCGATAAAGTCCTGCAAGTAAAAAGAAATCTTACAAGTAAGGCACACCCATAATTGTATTCTGGGTCTGTAATTATTATTTTTCTTAACGATTGATTAAATTTCTGTATACGTACTGTTTCACTAAACTGTTATAAGCGCTGCACAGGTGAAGTCAGGTATGGCAACTCACGAGGATTAATCAGTCAGACACACAAAATAAGTAATTTTTGTCCTAAAATCTACTGACCTGAAATTTTTACTTTGCCAACAAGTTAAACATCTACCAAGTAAGATTTCAATGCCACCGGTTACAGATGAGTGAAAACAATGTCAATGGGCGGCTCTCTCTTTTTTCTTTCTCAAAGATTACTGACCATAACATTCGTGGCATGTGTGTAAGCATGACTTTTACTGAAGGGTGGAAAGATGAAAGTGAAAAAGACAACAGGTGGCATTAACATCTGGCCTCCACATACAAACATTATTTATACGAAAGCGCACTTTTACGGAACTACAGGGTCATAAAACCTCATTTCGTTTGGAGGTTTTATGCAGACTATCCCTAGAAAGCTTAAAGAAAATTATAAGTAATAACGTTACATAATATGACATCTATGAACTGCAGTAGTTTGGGATACAGCAGGTTGCTAGAGCACTTTCTTTTTACATTGAATTTGATGACACCTGAAACCAGACACACTGGTAACTATTTAATAGTTGATGAGTTATAGTACAGCACATCTGTAAAAGTTACAGGAATAAGTTACATTCTTATTTATTAACTAAATACTGTGATATCATGTTGTGTGTATACTGGTATTAGCTGTTTGTTGATCTACAGACGTAGTCTTAGCTGTCACGAAGTCAAAATAATATCTAAGTATGGGCGCTTCGTAAAATATATATATAAGACACAGAGAGCATACAAGCAAGTTAATTATACAACTGTTACATTATGGCTAAACAAGTGTTTTTAAAGGAGAAAAACAACATGTTTCAACAAATTACATAGTTCTGTACTAAACTGTGGTATTATATTGCGAAACATTTCATTTGGAAACATATTTTAGATGACATTGTTCCAAAACTGGACAAATAGGGGCAATCATTAACAACATTACGGGAATAGAAGTCACTGGAGTATTTTCTATGTCGTGGTAAATTATCTCTGAATGAACATTGTGTTATATTTATCTACAACGTTGATAGCAGCCTTGGTACATTATTCCAAGTGGGGTCTCCATTTAGGATTACAGCCACTAAAAGGTTTGTTGATTTGTAGTTAAGAACAAAGATAGACAATGGGCTGTTAGTGCTGTGCCCACGAAGGGTCTCGAAACCCGATTTCTAGCGTTATAAGTCCACCCGCATATTTACCGTTGTGCCACTGGAGGGGTGGGGGCTAAAAAGCTGTGACAGAAGATGTGACTTTCTAAAAACTAAAGTGAGATTTTGTGGGTACATTTCAGTTATACAGTTGTATGATTTTATTTCAAAAACTGAATTAACTGATAATAATTAGTAACATAATTTACAATTAGATCAATTGTATGTAACTTTGGAGTGAAATGAATAAATATTAAAGTTGCATATTCTGCAGCTTAGTATTCGTAACTACGCGACTTTTTATCATTTTCTGAATGTCAAAAATTAGGCCATAATAATTGCCGACATCTTTTAATTACAAACTATTCGCAATATCGAATAAAAAACTAAAATATAATGGAATTTCTTATTTTGAATTTCAACAGGAACATTTTAACCAAACACTGGTGATCTACATTTTGTTTGTAAAAACCAAGCATTATATGCTATATTACATAAGCATTAACCAGAGAAGAAATTTATTTAGTTTGAACAATTAGTCTGTACTTTGAAATTCTCATAATTTTGCACATTGATATATCCTTTATATTTCACATCATTTGTTCGAAACGGATATTTTATGCTTTGTCAGTTTTAACAAATATCGAATAGCAGAGAATGCTGGAGTCTCTAATTTTTATCTAATTAAGTATTTATACTTCACAAAAGCAGGATTACAGTCATTAACGCTGTCAATTTATAATAAAAATCTACAAACGCATGTCGGATTATTGGCCTACTTGTCGTTCAACTAAAAGTTTAATATCTACTAATCTGACACCATTGGCGGATGTATTTGCAAATACATAATTTCTAATTTTTAAGCAGGTTCTTACAAAAAAACAAACAAGTTACTAAACTTTTCTAAGTTTCTTAGAAATTGCACTGCCTAAATATATTGAGTTTAATTGCGTAAATGATATGAAACTTCTTTTGGACAAACAATATATTGTACCTGTAAATGCGAAGCATTTTGGAAAAGAATGAATGGTGACCTATATTTACGCTTGCGCAGTGATAGTTACAACTGACGGGTGGAGTGCAAGTCACAGAAGCAGAAAGGAATTAAGCTATCTGAAAGCGGTGAAGCAATGAGCAGGTGACCTAAGCCTAATGGAAAGTATGTCTGGCTGTCAAACTCGTACAATGTCGTCCATTTACATTGTATCTATTCCATCATTACTTCTTTCTCTCTTTCCCCCCACATCACAATGAAAATATCATTACATATTTAGCGTGATGGGGGGGGGGTTATTTCAAGAAGCGCCCATATCTACTTACACTAATATGAGTTTTTTAAATTTAATCTTAATACTTATTTTTGTCTTGAACTAATACATTTTACTATATTTTTAGAATTCACAATACTTTGCAAGCATGTTAAGCATATTTTTGTAAGAAGAACATTAAGCATTTTAAAAATATGCTTTTTCAAAGCATAAAAAAGACAAGTATGGATACTTTGCTACTTGGTTTGTAAAGCTCTTAAGTGATCAATAATTATTCTATACCATTAACGAAAATTGGAACGTTATATTTCTTATTATTATAAAACAATAATGGCATACTTATTTTATCACTTGATATATTATGAAGGAATTATATTATCATTACAAACTAGGCCTAGATATATTAAGCTTACATTCTGGTCGAAGAGTTGAATCCCCCCTTTCCAAAATCCTGTACTCGTTCTTGATATACTTAAGAACGCCCGGTCACAAAACAGAAATATAATGAAGCAACGAAATCGCAAAAATTATTCACGAGAAACGTTATTATTACACTGTTAATGTTCAATATAGAACTTCTGGTGGCTTTTTCGAGTTTCCTTTTTTTTGGAAAATGGCAACCAATTAACACAGATAAATAAATTCCAAAGAACCTAGTGTCCATCGGTTCGATCGAGATCTTTATCAGATTTATCTTTATTTAATCCTAGACTTCCGTAGGCATGAATATAATTACTGTATTTATGATATTATGAAATCGTGTAGGATTAAAAATATAAAAATTACGAAACAACAAACCCAATTACCTGAGGGCTTTCGCTCGAGTTGTCTGATGTTTGTTTTATGACTTATTTCTTTTTATCATTATTTTGTTAATAACATGATGTTATCATATTTCAAATATTCAGTTACACGTGACTATATACAAATTTATACCATGATAAGAATAAGCAGGCCCAGGACAGTGATGAGCCCTAAAAAATAATTACAACAATTAAAATACGCACACACAAAAGCCTTACATAACAGGTTAATGATGAGACTGTACTTGTATTTTTTATATAATTAGAGTTTATATAATTAAACTCAACTATTTTTAAAATGATGGATTTAAAACATTTAAGACTTTAGCGTAGATGGGTTGTTTTTGAAACTATTGGAATATGATATTCTTATAATGCATAATGGGAACAAAGATAGAATTACAAAGAGACATGTGGAAAAATGATCATATTTAAATAATAAGTACATTTTTCATCGATTCCTGTTTAACAAAATTTATGTTTATGTTTCTTTTAGGACTGAAGACGGCATACAGAGATTAAGATAGATAGATATTGTTTCTAACCTCTGTAAATCACAGTTCAACACCATTCATTAGGCTTAGCCAGGAAATCGAAGGAACCTCGCAAAGGTAAAAAAGACAACAACAATCGCACGAATAATTTTACTCAGTTTGTAACCTTATTAACTCCATCCAGCTTCCCCTCTACCCACCTGTTGTGAATACATTCCCCATCTGAAAGGTTCAGCGCGTGTGGCAGATGGCGAGGACTGTCGGCATTTGGAGAGCCCAACGTGGTTTAGCTTCTATCAGCATCATAAGAATTATGCACCCATGGCCTCACACGGGTAGGCTATAGCAACACATGACAGGTGAGGGAGGCGAGCGCAGTAGGACGTGGAGTAAAATCAAGAACATGAACTAAATAATTTTCGACCTCTTGGTTTTAAAATTGTAACACTTGTACCAACCTGCAAGAAATATCTGATTTTGACCTTCTGAGAATTAACTCTTCGACAACGATTATCTAAGCAGTCCGTATCATTAAGGCAGATAAATGTAATCCACCGTTTCTGTTTATTTATGGTCCCTATTAGTAAGTGGTTTAGATCTGAATTTTCTTAAGCAGCACGATTTTTGTACGAAAACTGTTTTTAAAACATAATATTAGAATCAGGATACTTTTAAACCAAAACTCATTCATAAATCATTGTAATTTATTGTATTAGGCACAATCACTCACTACATAACTCAAGTTCCTTGCCAATCACGGTTTAAACAAATCCCTACACAAAGCATAAAGCACAGAATGTTCAGAATTGTTGAAAATAAATAGATTTGGATTAATGAAGTTATAGAGAAATGTTAATATATTGTATATTTTATTCCCATTAACTTGATATAAGTGTTACACATAACTGAAGCAGCTTTGGACTTGCAATTATTAACAACAAATATGCACGGCGACCTCCCACTATTTTGTTCAATAATTGCATACCACAAGGTTTGATTTCATTGTCGTCTCTTTTCTGGTCCGAAGATATGTACTTGTATATCCGATGGCACAGCTTATGCGGGCTCGTGGCGCGTGAAGGAGAGAATCCTGTTTCCGGACATTACAAAAGGCACAACTTTACTCGTGCCTGTTATCTCCATGGTGATACAGTTATTGCCCTCTTTCTGTGACAAGAGATTTCCGCTGACCAGCAGGTGAGAATGGCCGGATATGACCATTTTCAGTATCAGCTTTAAGAAGTTGTAGCATGTAGAAAAGCTCGAAGTGAAATGCTCATATAGTAACCAATGCGATATGATATATACAAAAATGATAAAACAATGATATTCGTATTGAAATGATTATCTAATTCCAGTACTATGTAATATAGAAATACATCTATCCCTAATTTAACGTAGTGATAAAAATCAATAAAAAAAAACATATTAATCGTATACATATTATATATATACCCAAAACTCACCTTCTACATAAGGTTGGCCATTGGGAACGGCAGTACCGGGTCCGGTGCCGTTCATGACAGGGGTAACTTTCGGTTCTGGCAGTGGATAACTTCCCCCTTGTTGAAAAAATTCGTCAAAGTCTGGCATGCATACCGATTCGTAGAGATTGGAAGGAACGTTTTCCAAGGAAGCTCTCTCTTTATCCACGTCTGAAAAAATGTTATGTTAACTTAGCTTTGACAGATTTGTTTTGCCAATACAGTCGGTGATAATTATTCACAGAAACAATAAAGCCAGTTCATTTTGAACAAAAATTATCTTTCATCACAGAAACAATAAAGCCAGTTCATTTTGAACAAAAGTTATCTTTCACCACAGAAACAATAAAGCCAGTTCATTTTGAACAAAAAATATCTTTCATCACAGAAACAATAAAGCCAGTTCACTTTGAACAAAAATTATCTTTCATCACAGAAACAATAAAGCCAGTTCATTTTGAACAAAAGTTATCTTTCACCACAGAAACAATAAAGCCAGTTCATTTTGAACAAAAGTTATCTTTCACCACTTGGAAATTATCTTAATCAATCTTAGGCGTTAATGTCTGTAATATGCAAATAGAACAAACTGAACACAACATCCCCACGCAAAGTTATTAATCATCATCCAGGGCCGTTCTGATGGGGAGTTTTGTCCCTCCCTCGGGGAGTATAAATTTAGTCGGCTAAACTAATTCGATGGACTAAAGATCCATAATTGTCACACTAGTAATACATAAGACATGCACGTAAAGATAAGAAAACTTGAAATTTATTTAGTCCTTTACATGCGCTTACAATTACAAAAGAACTCCATATGTGGGTGTGTGTGTAATGGTTTGTACTTGTGGTAAATTATTCAGTATCGATACAGTCAAACAGTACTGAATAAACTACTTTAATTCATCATCTTACATTCATTTGAAAAAATGTTCAAGTTAAACAGCCTTTATTGACTATACTACATTTGCCCACTGAATGTAAGTTATTGTGGGTATGTGACACCCTCTCTCCCTCCACACACACCCGGTCAAAATATCCTTGTCATCATATCTTTTGTAACGTTCTAGAATGAGTTCTAATGAGTGTTTGAATTTTTTTCATTTGTTAAACATAAGACGTGATAACAAAAAAGATAACCTAGTTAATTACAACCAAAAAATTACAGCGTTCAACTTTGTAATGAATATGTGTCATTAATATTTTATTATATAACATATAACCTTCAATATTTTATATGAGAGATTCCCTAAAAATACACGCCGTCAAGTACTATATTGTTAATTATACCTTTCAGCAGGGCGGGTGCCACGATTTTCGTGGCTAGTCGGCAACAACTGCAAGATCTATACAGGCGTTCAACATTCGCAGGGCAGAATTACAAACAAGAGGAAAATAGGCCTAGCGTGGGGGCTAGGCCCCCGCGCGAAACCTTATGCAACAACACATGGGCACACATGCCTAACGCCGGCACTGCCTTTTAGCACTATAAAACCTTCAATTTTGCAAACATAAATGAACATACTAATGAATTTCAAAAACAAAAAGCTCGAGCGCTTTTGAATAATTGACTATTCTTCTTCAGGAGAATAAAGAAAAACAGTGAACTATTGGAAAGCGCCAGAGTTTTGGGCTATTTTTTAAAATTCATTGCACCTTTTGTGTGTGATCCTGTGTTCCAACTCTTTTACCACAATTGAATATACTAATGTGCATCTTAACCGCAGAATTATATGTTTGGTTACAGTAAAACTAAAACAACTGTGGTGAAAATTCGAACGACTTCATAAACAGTAACACAAGATTAATATATATTTGTAAACCATTTGTCAGCAATTAAAAATGTTTTTCCCTAACAAACTATATTTATTTATTGAATTAGTTAAAGTCTAGGCGCAGTGTATTTACTTCGAAGTTTTAATGTATTAACATAAAGTAAAAGTAAGTTTGAACACAAAGCTCCGAGTAAAATGTACACACATCAACATGTGTACACCAGATAACATTGACGCGATAAATATACAAATTGCATCACTTGTCGCTAAGCTTTATCATAACATAATTTTCCCAAACTAGCCAATACTTAAAAATCCAGTACGTTATGACTGAAACGCAATAAGAAAATCAATATTATGGAAAAAGGCAAACATTAAAAATACAAAATTCTACAAATGTATCAAAATATATTAAGGCATGAAATATCTAGCGTGTCAACACGGCATAGAAGTAGCGGGATCCTCTTCTGCTCTTATAAGTATATTCAAAAATACTAGTAACGAGTATACAGAACACACGCAGATACCAAAAGCTAATGTCCCCGTACAATCATAAACTCCACCACATGTTTGATAATTGATAAAAGTTTCAATATGGTAATTTTAGGTGACATATACGTAAACATTCTTATATATATATATAATTAATAATTTCATATTGACTTAACAAAACAAATGGTCGAATAAAGACTTCATACAACATTCCTATACTGAATTGCTGAAGGATACAACAGTTCTTTAAACCAAGCGCGATTAAACGGCAAGCTACTACCAGAGAAAAAATATATAGGTTTTATTACAAAATCTTAGTCACAGTCTAAAACAACCAAAATATTTAATTATATATAATATTCACACTTAAAGATCATAAGATCATTGATTTAAATCAATATTATAAACTCTTAATTTTACTGAAAAATGTTTGACTTTACAAAAATGTAAAGGACATCTGACATAAACTTGTTTTAAGAATGTCTCTGCCTTCAATTGAAATATTAATAAAAAACGTATACTTTAATTGTAAATTCAATATATCTCTACATTATTAATTAGATATAGAAGGTGTTTTGAGAGTGTTAACTAACAATGTCTGTTTTCGACATTCTGCTTCTGGATGACTACGGAAAAGGGTGAAAAATACCAGAAGCTAGTACTGATACATTACTTACTGAACAAGAGGAAGGGCTTTGGGATGATAGAGGTACCAGTCGGAAACACAGTAAATACAGTATTATGAAGTTTTCCGACGGATGCGGAGCCAGGATGTTATTTGGAGTGGAATATGATAAATCCTGCTGAGGCCAAGTGATGTAGTTACTTTACATCGGGATGAGGACTCTACTACACTATGCCTGCCTTCACTCTGGTTTTTTACAAGTTTTACAGTTTGTTGAAATAGCAAAAGCTACCGCGTGGTATACGTTTTACTGCAGCGAAGAATAATCTGTGAACTCCTGGTTTTAGAGAGAAGTGCAAGATAATATTTTATGCTAAGTCTGTGACAGATATATGGCAGAGAACCAACTGCTGGCTCTATCATGGAACTTTTTCTTCAGCCAACACACAGGTAAGGCTAACGTTGATTTAACATAGTAGTGCGCATGGGAGGATCAAAGCCTACTACCTTTCTATTCATTGGCTGGTGGAGAATAGTGTTGCGGGGGAGAGGGTACCAGTATATCGTTCTTTTAAATAGAACCCCCATCCACAGGATGTACTTGGGACGTATAGTGTCATATGCACGAATTTACGGAAGGCTTAATAAACACACGAATATAAAGCTCACAAAATTAAGTATTTATGTAATTCTGTTCAAACACCAAAACTAATTTTACTTGAAAGCTTCAAAAATACGAAGATAAATGGTTTCATTAGCATTATTTTAGTTCAAATTATATCTAATAAAAAAGTATTCATTCGATTCAAGTTAAATGCCAAACTAATATAAAGTCAAAATTGCTGTACTGAAAAATAGTTCTGTTTAAGTGTTAATTATTGTCAAATAAACCAGATGCCACTCAATAACTGACGCACGTATCATGGCTTGATTTGATTGGAGTATTTTAGATAATTGAATATAAAATTGAAATACTGTTTTTAACCTTTTTGTCTTTCTCTTAATATCTATAATACAAACAATACTTTCGTTATTCAGTTTCAAAAGTTATGTTAACAACTTATTTAAGCTGAACCTTTTTTTAACTCTATCGTCTTTTAAGCTCTAGAAAGTGCTGTTTATATATATATATATATATATATAGAGAGAGAGATGGATATAGAAATTTACAAAAATTACTAAATTTATCTTTCTACTACACTATTTCAATGTACTGTTTCAACGCATAAAGCGACTATCCATCTATACGCTAGTGTTTCAACCAGTATTCTACCACACAATAAACAGGATATCCCGCCTCATCCGTCCCGGCGATATGGCCCCACGCTCGCCTATCTATTTTCCGCTGAACCAATTTCGTCATCAGTTTTCCTGTCCTATTTACTACTCGTTATAGAAGGAAATATTTTGCGAAAGTCGAATTTTAACAAGGAATCATACCACTGGCAACTCCGCCTAAATCAGCTGCTAGCGATTTCATATATATTCTATTAACGCCGCTTCCTGTTGTGCTGAAAGCTACACAGTAACAGTCTAGTTATTTATAAAGCACGTGGAAAGCTAAAACAGCTTAATTTTATCAAAACCGACCAAGTTTTTTAAATAAACCATTATCAATTATAAGAGAAAAGAGATCATTTTGACTTGGTTTCACACTTCGTGTTTGAATGTTAAAACATAAATAAACTATTCAGTCTATCCAGCATTAAGTTATAACATTGAAGAAATATTCCCCAAAGTAAAATCTCATAGTCTGTCTTACCTTTCTGTAACAAATCCAAATGCTCCCACAAAATATCACCCATGAACGGTGGGGCACGTGCGAGGAAAGACTCTTTACCAAGCTCGCACATATCTCGACCTTTCATTCTGAGGATATGAAGATTAACCCCTTCCAAACTGAATTCTTGAATTGCCCAATTCAACCAGTGAGTCACATCCATCTCACTCCATTCACGTGGGTCTACAAATAAATAAATATCAGAATTGAAGTATTGTACAGGATCATGTTTGGAAAGTTGTTCCACTAAGACGAATTTTACTGTTTAAAGTTCTTCCAATTTTTTCGTGTACAAAAATTGGATCACAAAAAAAAGGAATGAAAAATTTATTTAATACAATCTTTTGCTCCTTGTATAAACATACAACAAATACTGATTCAAAGAACATCAGAATTTTATTATTATTATTTACTCTAATGAAATCCAAAAATCCAGGGTTCGATTCCCCTCGGTGGACACAGCAGATAGTCCGATGTGGCTTTACTACAAGAAAAACACACACACCCTAAAAAACTAACACGTTAATTTCTTATGTAAAATACGATAGTTATAGAAAACGACTCAAGTGGTAACGATAACATTTAAGGCAAGGATCCATCAAAAAATAAGATAACATTTTTAGTAACAATAACATTCCTAGTGATGCAAAATAAGATACAGTTATTTTCACTATGTTAGTATACATGTTTTCCTTACGATAAACATATGCATTCATATTGAAAATAAGAAATGTAATAACATTTATCTCAACTTTTTTCTTTACCAGGTCAGAGACTGTAACTTTATTTGGTCCTTCAACTAAAAACTATACAATTAACTATCTGCGCTCTGTTTACCGCAGGAAAATCGAACCTCGGATTTTAGCACTTTAAATTCGGAAATTTATCACTGACCCATCGGGGGACCAGTTAGCGGGCAATGAAAGCATTGAGAAAACAGGATATAATACCCTAAGACTGTAAAAACCTGTATAAAAACATTGTTAATCTTTTGAAATCCAGAGAGTATTAAAAGTTAATTACCAAGAGAAAGGCAAAACGTTTAACACTATTGTTATTGTTTGTTATTAAGCACAAAGCTACACAAAGGGCTATCTGTGCTCTGCCCAACACGGGTATCGAAACCCGGTTTCTAGTAGTATAAGTCCGCAGACATACCACTGTGCCACTGGGGGGGGGGGGCATTTAACATTAGCACCAAGCAAAAACTTTGAAAATCTGTATCAAATCAAATTGTATTTTCATATCATTATATATGTGTATATGTGTAGTTGAAAATAGAAGGAAGTGGATCAGGGAAAGAAATATACGTGATCAACTGTTCTGTTCGTTACACAGTCTTGACCACATATTTCATCTTTTTTGATCAAATAAGGCTGTACCTGCATTTTAGCTTGTCATCTGGAGTTCAAAAACGTATATACATTAAACAGCCATCCTTTATGTTATTTATGAAAAGAAAACAATACCTTTGTTTTAATTTCCCAATGCATACATAACTATTTATCTTCTCCTTCTCTGAAAAATGTAAGTTTAGATACCATAATTACAGAAACCGAACAAATAGTACTGATATCAGTTCCCTTAAGTGCGTGCAACTTTTGGAGTTTTGGAAAGGATACAATATGATAGTTTCTACATTTTAATAATTAATACCAGCAAGACGATTAATGATATATTAAACACATTAATTAAGGAGATTTAAGTTGTTGTCTGTAACACATCTGTACATGCTGCAAAACTATAGTGATGTTTTCTATATAACACAAAACGAATTTGTTGAGAGGTTTCGTGAACTACTTGTTGTAACTGAACAAAACTGCCCACACGAAAGTATTGCTAACATCATGATACCGCGAATTTATGAAACTTTTAAACAGAATTTTGTTTTCTTTATGAGACAATAGTACAGAATGAAGTACATATACTGTTTTTACTGTTTAAACACAACTTGTATGATGAAACGACTATTATAAAACTAAGTAATTATCCAAGTATTATCATTTCTAAAAATCGAATAAAAGTGACAAAAATTAAACGAATCGCTTTAAAAAATAGTCAAAACAAAGTTTGAAACATTTTATGTCTGCTGTTTTCAGTGTTCCACAATAAATCCAAAACGTTACTGACATTCAGGACGTACTAAGGTCACATTGGCCTTGAAAAAGAGGTGGTCCAGGGATTTTGGAGTTCAAAAACAGGTGATTTTATTCATGTTTAACACCTTGTCTCGTAACTAGGAATGTTGACTACGTCCTTTCAACAAAAAGCTGTAATAAGACCGCTCAACACGACTCTCAATGGTACTTCCGGCGAAATCAAAGAGTGTAAAAGTATTGAGCTCTTAATCCTAATTCAACATCCTGGACAATCATTAACTTCAAAACATTGAACACAGAATACAATGAGAGGCCTACAGTTGATTAACACCATAAAATTTCACGTTTGACCAATAAGACAAAGTACAGAATTACTTGTTGTAATAAGGGGCCTATAGTTGATTAACACAATAAGATTTAACGTTTGACCAATAAGACAAAGTACAGAATTACTTGTTGTAATTAGAGGCCTACAGTTGATTAACACAATAAAATTTAACGTTTGACTAATAAGACAAAGTACAGAATTACTTGTTGTAATGAGAGGCCTATAGTTGATTAACACAATAAAATTTAACGTTTGACCAATAAGACAAAGTACAGAATTACTTGTTGTAATGAGAGGCCTATAGTTGATTAACACCATAAAATTTAACGTTTGACCAATAAGACAAAGTAAAGAATTTCATTTGAATTATAAAAATTGCAACCTCGAACTAAATCAATTAAGTTGTTATCAAGTATATTAAGAATTTACCCTGGGTTTTCCTAAGCACAAAAAAGTGACAAACAGTTGTGTTCTGAATTGAAGTGTAATTATTACTAACTCTTAACCAAAGAACATTAACTAATAGCATAAGAACTACAGATTAACCCAGTAATTAACACAACTAGATTAACAACCTTTGCATAATGATAAAAATACATTGATTTATCGGTTGGGCACCTAGCTGTTAGCGATTTTTCGGCCGTAATGATAATTTCTATTGTTCGTTTCTGCATTTTTGCGCGAAGATAAACAAAGGACAAACTGCACGTAGCCGTCTATAATGTTGAAGTGAAGGAACAGAGGGAAAGCAGCTAGTGAACAGCATCCATTATCAAAACTTAGACCGAGCAGCAAGATTTTTTATCCCTCATAGCGCACGCAACTCACAGAGCGAAGTTTTGCGGCAAAGAGTTGCGAACCATTAATCCTCGGTTCGCAGTGTTTAACCAATAAGCCACGCCTGGTCCTAAATGAAAATATCCTGCCAACTCATTAACACCATTCAATATTAATCACCTCAAATATTTGCAAGTGCTATAGTCGTAAATAACGTAATTTCGAAAACTTCGTTCTCTGAAAGCAATTTTTCTTAGAAATGTATACACAATAACACTTTTCTTGCTGAGAATTCAAAGTTCTAACCCTTCGTGTTAACGCGTAATTACCTCCGAGATAATCATTTTATACTTAACTTAAACGAAAGAAAAACTAATTATACTTTTCGAAACAAATATACGTGAGAATATGCGTTTCCAATCTGCATGAGGGAGGAAAGCTTCTGTGAAAGAGATAAATCGCCTATATTTGTGTACATTTAAGTGAAAGCACGTTCTCCGAACCTTATCCAGGAATCTTGCATTTGAAATTTCCAACATAATTATTCTAAAAAAACTATGCTATTAGACGTCAAACAATGGAGCATGTTTGAAAACGTCTGTACGGTAATTATATTTAGATACATTACTTATCACACTTATCGTATATCAAATAGTTGAATTATTTAAAGTTTTAGCAAGAGAAATATTCACAATGTTAAATTTTGTATTAGATATGTTGGAAATACAACTTGTTAATAAGTATGTGGCGAAAACGTCGTTATGAACAATACATTTTCAAATGTACCCCAGCGACTCAGAGGCAAATCTGAGGGATTACAACGCTAAAAATCGAGTTTCAATACTCGCGATGGACAGAGCAAAGATAGCCCATTGTGTAACTTAGCGCTTAACAACAAACAAACGAAGCATTTTGAACATTTAACAATTCTCATAACAAGCAAAGTAAAATTTTAAAGTTTCAGGTGTGTTGTTGGTGTTAACAGCATTTCATGAAAGACACTTCATATATTGTAATATCTGAAATACTACAGTGAAAATTAATATATTTTGTTACAATTTACGTCAGTTTATGCATTAACCGTGTTTATTTACACATTTAGCTATAATGTCAAACGATTTAATTGACAGAATTCATTCAAAGAACACCTAATAATTAAACTACTATCAGTTACACAATCGTTCTTCTGTACCTTTAGGAATACAGAGTTTTAGTCTTTCCTTCTCCCAGTTGCCGAAGCTAGCTGTCAGTGCTTGGGTCATTTTTTGATTGGTCCCTGGAGTCAGTGGCGGCACCTGGGTGGGAAGTTCTGTAATAATCGAAACATAAAATATAATGGCCAAAGTCACACAAAATATAATATGCAGTTTTAACAGTTATATTGCTTAGAAAATCACGATAGTCTTGTACCGGCGGTAGGCGTTCTACAGAAATTCGTTTCAAATACAGGAATTGCAAAACAGTTTCATAGAATCTCAATCATTTGGTAAAACGTATCCTGTTTACTAAATTCTCTACACAGAAACAATATTGCTTCACTTAGCGAACGCAGGATACTTTGCTTGAGTACTGATGTTAAAAGATAATCATTGTAATAATCATGCTTTATACTTTGAACTAAAATAAAAGTAGCAGTCAGAGTTTTTGATTATCATGATTATGCCAATATCGAAGTACTTAATAGTACCCCTATTTATTTGTCCTTTATATATGACACGTAATAATTGCTGCTACATATTCTGAATGCTAGATTTTGTAATTATTTTTGCGCTGAAATAATAGATAAAAATCGTTGTATACATGATTCTAATACAATCATACTGAACTGGTACTACCTCCAACCAGTGTAAATCTAGGTTCGGTCACATTTGGGCCCATGGGTCTTTCTTTCTTGTTTATCCGGCATCTGATTTCTTCCTCTGATGTTTGATTACTTTAGTATATTTCAGAAATGAGAGTCATTACCAAGAAGTCCCAACAGGAAATACGATATAAAAGTTTTTGCGTAAAGACTTACATTTTCACTGATTCCTCTCTTTAAGCTAGAATAACGCTATTTCACCACATACTCGAGAAAGAAGTTTGATTTGTTCATTGCCCTTAATGTGACATAAATTATATACTTAGTACGTATGAAAACCATGAGAATTAGGTAAATTTCTGTAACTTTGTTTCAAACCTGATTAATTGCAAATTAAATTGTATTCACGTATAACAGCACACTGGGTCATACGATAGGCCTATGGTTTGAGAACACACTGGAACAGTCCATGCTTTACACACCATAACATAGAAGACATCGCAAGAATCTGCCAGTGGCATCACGAATTAATCAAATTCGATTTTAATAAAAACCGAGGTATTTTCAAATCCGACTCATACAGTTAGGAACTTAGTATTAAAAGTTGCCTGTTCTCATAGAAACAAACGATCCGAACCGCTCTGCCACTTGGAATGAAAGCGAGGGCCGAGGACTCTATCAAGACACAGTAATTACGTCCTCCTCCGCCCTAAGCCAACTGGTATAATCAGTCTCAATGGGCTGAGTCACAGAATGGGAGAGGAAAGAGTAGACGTTCGCAAGCCTAGAGGAGGCGTGCCGTCCCGAGTTGGCCACGCGCGTGATCATGGCGGTTGCTAGGACCACGGTGGGTGTCTAACGACTTTCACATCTCCCGTACGGTCTTCGTACAACGCTGGAAATTTCTGTAAATGGCTACCTCTTGTCTATTTCTCATTTCGTAAAACTGTAAACATTAAATCCTGAAAAACTGCGTAACAACAACTAAGTTACCCACAAACTTTTACTATGGTTGTGTAAAAACAACTAAGTTACCCACAAACTATTACTCTGGCTGTGTAAAAATGCTTAATAACTTATATATTTTATGTGCATTGACTATAATTGTAATTTATTTGAGTATATTGATTTCTAATCCAACTTGATGAAGCAAGAGAAAAGTTACTATAATTAATCGCAAGAGATTTTTACTATTATTATTGTCCTCCCCCATCACAGTGGCTCAGCGGCAAGTTTGAAGGCTTACAATTGCTAAAATCGGGTTTCGATACCCGTGGTTAGCACAGTGCGGATAGCCCATTGTGTAGCTTTGCACTTAACAACAAACAAGTAAACAAGCTATTATTATTATTAACATACAATGGCCCCCTGATGACTCAGCGGTAAGTGTGAGGGCTTATAACGCTAAAAATCGGGTTTCGATACCCCCCCTGTGGGCAGAGCACAGATAGCCTATTGTGTAGTTTTGGGCTTATGAACAAGCAAAGATACATCAAAATACAAGGAGATTGAAAAGTTAGGTTTGTATACATGTTTAATCCATGCAGTTCATCATCATACTTCCAGCATTCAAAATGTTGCACATTAAATAAAACAAAACAAATTTAAACATACGTTCAGGAGAAAAGCAACTCAAACCTGTACAAAATTAGTTGTATGCTATTCAGTTACTTCATATTTCATATCGAGTAAATATGTTTTTCGGGTATGAAGATACGTATGTCACATATTACATCTCGGATACTTCACTTTTTTTTGGTGTTTAAAACAATCCGTTGTGTTTTCTTTTACATCCTTCTTACAGTATCGCAGTTATTTCACATTTTTATATATTTATCCACATATAACAGGATGTGCGTGTTCTTTATTCAATATTGTGGTGTTATGGGATATTTTAAGCTTTACGTTACACTTTTGTGCACTGTCAAGACTTTTGACTTTGCCACACATGTTTACGAAGTTTCAGCATTTTTGTATTTTATTCATGTGTAGGACACTTACGACTAACGTTCACACATTGCTTCATATATTTATTCATGGTCTTTCAGTGCCGTATACATTTCACAACGAGAAATGTTTTGTACAAATTAAACTCCAATTCTAATTCCAGTTGAATAAATACGCTCGCCTAATTTTAACCACTGAAATATGCTGAAGAGTAAGTAATTACTTTTATAAAAGACCAAATTAGTGAAGTTACGTTTACATATTATATCTATATAAATAGTTTCGATACAAAAATATTGGAACCGAATACTCTCCCACAATAACTCTGTTAATAAAAATATTTTTTTTGAAGTCACTTAGATTTACCTCTTTTTTTTTTCTTCATAAAAATCGCTAGATTAATTTATAAAATTCTACTTATATTTTCGATATGGAAAATCCCAATATCATCAACTTAAAATTTCTTTAGTGAAATACATGTTTTCTATTTTTGTTCCTATTATTCACCAATTCTTAGTTTTTAGTTTATCGTACACTCACTCAATTAAGTTTTGTTAATACATACAATAACCTGATAATTATAAGACGAATTCCGAATTATTATTTACATTTTCATTATTTACGGAGTTTAACGTAACTCGTCAAATTATCAAAATGGTTTGACAGCTTCTTTCTAAAGTGAGTTTGAGTTATTAAGTTCGTGTTCTGGATACTTTGAATTATATTAAGTGCGTGCCCTGAAGACTTTATATTAAGTTCGTGCCCTGAATACTTTAAGCTATGTTAAGTTCATGCCTTGGATATTTTAAATCATGTTAAGTTCCTTCCCTCGATACTTTAAGTTATGTTAAATATATACTCCGGATACTTTAAGTTATATTAAGTTCATGCCCTAAATACTTCACATTATGTTAAGTTCGTGCCCTGAATAATTTAAATTACTATGTAAAGTTCGTGGAAACTGTCCTATCTTTGTCCATGATATTTCATGTTGTAAGACTCTCATAAAAACTTACTTGGTTCAATGGTGCATCACACATACACACTAAATATATATATATTCTGAACAAAGAGCCTGTGGATCGAAACTTCTTAAATAATGTAGTTTTGTGTAGTCTGTCTATAGCTTAGTGGTGGAGAGGTAAAACTAGTGCTTATAAACATGTTTGCTTGCTCACGCCTTTTCTCGTCAGATGAATAAAATGTATAAGCTTGAAGATATAACTATGTAGCGAGTCTCCCATTGTTTAAACAGTTGTCAGGTTTATAAGGTTCTGTTCTCTGACTACTTGGGAAGTTATAAACGTGTAAATACACACCAATGCGTATGTGTATGTTCTTGGAGAAATACACTAACAACTTATTGTGAAACCACGTGGAACAAAGGGTATGCCGAATTCCGCAACTTAGTTCAAACTATAGATAACGTCTCTGATCTGTTAACACGTTTTCCTGAGCCTAAACTGTTGCCCTTGAAAACGAGCAAGAGATCACATGCTCACACAATGGTCCAGGATGCGGGTATATAAGATGGTACTAATAGAAAACGTGCAGCGCCTCGATATTTTCTTTCACCTCCAAAGCTACTGACTTGTTAGAAGTGATCGGTATCTCAAGTTACAGTTGCACTACAGCATGATCTTAGAGATTTATGAAGAAAAATGCATTCAGGTCAAGGGCTATGAAATTCTTGGAAGGTGTTTAATAACAGCGTTAAAATAACATATCATAGTATAAATCCATTTAGTTTAATACTTATTCTCACGAATCCTTACACCATTGTTGCATTCAAGTCATGTAAAAAAATCGGAATATCCTCTGCCGCCACCCAGTGGCACAGCGGCGTGTCTGCGGACTTACAAAGCTAGAAACCAGATTTCGATACCCGTGGGGGAGGGGGGGGGGCAAAGCAAGTTAGCCCATTGTGTAGCTTTGTGTTTAATTCCAAGCAAAAAAATCGTGTAATATCTAAAGGTTTAGGTTATTTCTTGCAGCAAAAGTATGGGTAACGGGATTCCTAAATATAATAAAGCTTAAAAGTGTACTTCCACTCTGGAAAAAAAGCGCTCGATTTGCGTTTTAATAATATTTTCTGCAAACGTTCAAAGCGACTTCGAGACTATAAAGTATAAGTTATCTTATTAGTACACAATGTTTCTACTTCTCCCGGATACAAGTATTAAATACACATACAATAAGAAACATAGTATTCGTTTGTAAAGCACACTACCGAATAAAAGACTAATTTTACAGCTTTATATTTTACAAATGAACAACTAAATCAAGAAATCTGGAAATACTTGTCTTCATTGAAACTTTTCTGCAATATACTAAACTAATGGAAATGATATGATGAGTTGGATAAAGTAGAGCTATACTAAACTAATGGAAATGATATGATGAGCTGGATAAAGTAGAGCTATACTAAACTAATGGAAATGATATGATGAGTTGGATAAAGTAGAGCTATACTAAACTAATGGAAATGATATGATGAGCTGGATAAAGTAGAGCTTAACTTCATGGTTATCGACTAAGTTGTTGTTCAAATAATAATCAGA